ATAAAGAATCTGCAGTTTATATCAATTCTGACATATGCATATTGAGATATGATATATTGACATCACAGTAGGATCTAAATGTAATTTATTGACATAAATTAATAGATATTTTTTTTGCGTCAATAATATTGTATTTAATCAGTTTTGAAAAAAAAATTGAAAAATTACAAAGTTTTTACTTTTAGTTTTTTTTCCTTACAAAATTCTTAAATGCCATCATGGAACATTTTTACGCGGATCGTCTTCGCTGTTATAATTATTCAAGAGAATATTTACAAACAAATATTTGTCGATGAATATTGACGAAGCCCATACATTGATCGAGAATGCAAAAAACGCGCTACGATGTAGTTTCAGCGGAAGTTACTCTTCCGGCTATTCGGATTGAAAACATTTAACTAGGATGTGGAAAATTTTTTTATAAAAAAGAAGAAAAGAACAATTAAAAATATCAAATTATTCGGTCTTCTTTAAACTTGTGAAGTTTTATCTATCTTGCTCGGATTAATCATTTATTACAGATAATTTATATGTACAATTTTTTTCTTTCTCAACTCCTTGAATTTCGCGAGTTAATTGATAAAACCTTGAGAAATTTCAATCATAATTTTTCACTCTCTAGTAAGAATTATGTAGGTTTTTATTTTATGAGAAAATTATATGTCAGTGATATCTGATTTAACAGCGCTATCCGATTTATATCAGAAATAAAAACTTTACTTCTAGAAATTATTTAGTCACATAAATATAAAATAGACAAATATAAAACGACATAAATAGGATTATAAAACAAAATAAAAATAATATAATGTATATATACATATATATAATTTTTTGAATATATAGTAAATATATATTCTTGTGTGTTATATTGTTTTATTAAAACGTTTTACAAATCTTTTCACAAATATTAAAACATTTGTTGCTTGGAGTTAATTATTAGTAAATGCTGTTTATTAACATGATGCTTATTAACAATATTTATAATGATGATCAATTTTGATTTAATTAATATTTCTATAATTAAATGAAAGTGAACAAATTTTATACCTTTTTTCCTATTTTATCATTTTTTTATCTTTAACTTGTTTCATACTTCTTTACATGTTGTTGTTTTCTATCTTTCTGATCTCTTTTTTTCTTGCCTTGATATTTTTCTTTCCATTTCTCTTCCTGTTTCTATTTTTTTCTTATTTTATAGTTCTACTTTTATTTTTCATTTCTTACTTTTTTTCTTTTTCTCTTTCGTTACCTTTTTCTTTCTTTATTACACTTTCTTTGGTATTTTTTATATTGTTTATTTTTTCGTTTTATTTGTTCTGTATTATTAATATCTTTGAAAAGCGATATTTATTCCCATACGCATATCACATTGGTGGAAATTTTGAGGAAAAATCTGTGCTGAAAGAGTATATAATTGCTATTTCCATTCTAGAAATTTTACAGAACAATACGAAACACCCTATAGTGCATCTAATTGCTCTGCTTTTACCATGAAAGGGAAGAGAAAGCTTCTCTGTTTTAATTGGATTAAAATTGTGATTGTTCCAGAAACATTCTTATGAAATTTCCTACAGTAATTTTTAAAAAATCAGAAATGTAATATGGCAATTAGCGAAAGTGACTTTTAAAAATATCTTCTAATTCGATTATATATATAAATGAAGAGAGAAACAGAGAGAAGTATTAGGTCAAAATAAATTTAAAACATATTTCATTTGAGAATTAATTCATAATTAGATTCAAATTCTTCGATAAGATCGATATTATATATAAATAATCGTTTAGACTGATAAATCCAATGAATCTGTCACTGGGGTGCCATAATATTCATTTAATATATCGAAATACAGCCATGTATACATCGATGCCTAATCTAGCATGAATTAACATTCAATATCCCTATGAAATACGTAAGCATTCACCCTCATTTTATGCATTTCCTTTTCGTGCACCTCGTTATGTATTAGCCATGCCAAAGACTCCCCTTTTTAGCCGCGAGATGTTACTCAGACTTCTTCGATACTCGCGATAAGCTTTATCCCCTCGTGCTCAAAAGCTATTATTTGCTTTAATCAGGGTTGTATTTAGTTAGTCATTATATCGTGAACACTTTGTTATTATCCAGCTATTAGTATACGTTGTCTTTATTTTCATACGTTAATGATTAACGTTCTATTTTTAAAGCAAAAATAATATTGCAAATATAACGTGTTCATGAATAATTTATTTTAAAATCTTTTTTCTATAGTTACATTGAAAAAAATAAAAATTTTGCCTAAATTATTAATTATGACACACACATAATAATTCTAATAATATATTATTTTCTAATTTTCAAGAAATAAAAATGATTGCAATCTTACATGTTATGTAAGATAAGAGAGATTTGTTTTAGAATTGGATAAAAAATACTGCACTACGCAAATACATTTGTTACACTACACTCTGTGCGATTTGTAGGATTTTAACAAAATCTATATAAATGCATTTTTCTTAAATCAAAATGCATTTCCGGTCTGCGCTTATTTTGATATTCTATAAATTCAAATCATGTCATCCTTGTCTAAATTCGAGGCGCTACGAGATAGAGATGGAAAATTAAATGAAAATCATATAATATCAACTACATTGTGTACGGCGAATAGATCGATTCAGATGGATAGAACTATCAAAGTTTATACCTAAAGAAAAAACAAACAACTGCTTGTGGACTAACGCTTTAATTAAAACTGATATTTCCAAAGCCTTCGTTTTATCGCTCAATCTTCTCCGCGATTTGTTAGCACAACATTTTATTTAATTGTTTTACGATCTGCATTACGTAGAGGATAAACCGCACAACTTAATCCTTGATTGTTTCTAGCTCACATTAATGGAAGGTAATCTAATTTCTTTTCTCGGGGATAATTTAGTAGAAAATAGCTTAATAGGCGATTGTATGATCATATTGTTTTTGATTGGAATTATTTAATCAGACAATTATATTAAATCAGACAATTATTTAAAAAGTAAGAAAATAATTTCTCGATTTGCGTGGAAAGTGTTATCTTCGTTCTCGATATAAAAGGAACGCAACATCAAGAGCAACAAATCGTTTAAAGTTTAAGCACGCGTTTTACTTACAACGCAAAAAAAGAGAACTTCAAATCGCTTTCACTTTAAATCGGATAAACGCATGACACAGTTGAACGGATTTTATTGGCTGGAATCAGAGCCAAATTAAAAGTTTGTATTACGTCGTCAAGTCATGGTCGCCGTTACTGGCCTTAATTCTCTGTTTCCAGTCGCTGCATCCAACTCGAGAACGAAGAGAAGACTTTTATATTTTACGAGTTTCGTACCATCCTAACCCTCCTTCCCTTTATTTCCGACCATTCTATTTCCAGATCTATCATGGCCAAATGAATAATAAAGTGTCTGAAATTTCCAAGTTTAAATTATAATTGTAAAGAAATTAAAGAAATTTAAAGAAATAATTTCTCTTTAAAAAACATTACAATATTACAAAGATATATCACATCAACAGTAAGAAAAAATGCAAAATATTTTTACACAACCAGAACATTCTGTAGAACATTCTGTTCCCCTCCCCCAAATTGAATAAATCTTATGAGTTTCGTACGTCATGACGCGTCTTTCTTTTATACAAGTATCCGGCCATTCTATTTCCAGACGTCTATCATGACCAAACGAGTATTTAAAAAAATGTCTGGAACTCTCGAAATAATGTGCTCTTTAAAGTCAAAAGATAGTAAGGGTATTTGAATTTATATAGTTCATTACGAAAAAATGCGTAAAACTCCCCCTGATTTTGAAAGTTATGAATATTTACTATTTAATTAAAAATCAAATCAATTTTTATGTTTAAATTCTAAGAGAGTTAATCTATTTAAATAAAATAATCTTGAAAAAGCACACAGAGATACCATCATACAATCAGGAGAAAAAATGCAAAATATTATTGCATAATCTTTGTCTTCTTAAATTTTACACAATACGAAAAGAAAGTTTGACTATACCTCCGTTACATAACATTAAATATTTACGCGTTACTAAATAAAAATACTTTTTTTTTAGAAAACTTTAATTGAACTTTGTTGCCCCCCCCCCCCTCCAATAGAAGTTCACTTTAATCAAATCTGGATTGAAACTCGATTTGTAGGTCCTACTTTGAACAGGTAATATCAGTTGACTTACTGACGAACTTCGATCAAATGAAGGAAGCTTGCGTCTGCATCGAAATAAGATCTTAATCCGTCAACTAAGCTGAAGATCAATCAACGATAATTTTAAACGTAGAACTCCACGTGCAAAATCAATCAATATAACTACATTTGATAAGAAATCTATATATTTATATATATATATATATATATATATAAGAAGCAAAAAATTATTAATTCCAAGATTATTGCTTCTAACATAACATATACATACAATTTTATTTAAAAAAATTACTTTAAAAAAATTTTGATAAAAATATATCAAGAAAGATGTATTTACATATTATATGTTGTACTATAGATTGAAACATTCCGTTCAATATTATTTGGAGACATTTGTACATATTTTTGATTACATGTTTCCCAAGACTATATGCGACGGAAAGTTATTAAAACACCTTATGTGGTAATACAACTACGTAAACGTTATTTCTATTTAACGTTGTACATTTTAGGTTAAAATAAAAATGCGATCACGATCCACCCTAACAACATAAGAGATCTCATCTTGATGTCGAGTAGCGCGTATCAAATGTATTGTAAACTTTTTTTTTATCTGAGAATTGAAATTATGCATGATTTGTCTTAAAGAGAAGCTACAGATCGCTTATTTTTAAGAAATATTTCATGTTATTTATGTTTTATTTCTAAGAAATGTTGTGAAATTTTTTATTTACTTTTGAATTATATTTTTTCCCAGAATCTTTTTGCTATTGAAAAATATCTTCAAACATTCCGATATCGATTATACGTGAAAGTGACACATGTACTCACGAGTGTTATCATAGAGTATTCCATTGAGCTCGTCGAAACAAGGGATGGTAGCCAGAGTGCCGGGAGGCGTTCGGGGCCAGCACAATATAGTGTCCCAGTTCACTTCACATTCCAACCGATCCTGTTTCCTGTTTTGATCCTGATGCTTGCGTTCGAGACACTTAGACTGCTCGCTGCTAAGCGACTCGTTTAGTTCGTTAATGTAGTTCAATACGTTCAACACGTAATTGTCATCGACCAATGGTTCTGTCTCGTTTGCAAGGAACCAGGCCATATCTGATGTCCGCCGTAATCATCGGGTCCAATCCTGTCGCGTTATTTTTCCACGGAGATCCCTTTCTTAGTTCGGGATAAATCTAAAATGAAAAAAAGAAGAATCCCCTTTACATTTTCAAATGCTTTTATCATGGCAACGAAACTTGACTCGAAAATAAATTTACAATGAAAACGCTTGATGTATCTCTATATTTTTATTTATATGTATATTTTTTTAATTATGCTTATTGAATTTATTTTATTACAGCGTTTTTATTATATTAGAATATTACAACGCGCGCACCATTTATTTCTTTACGCTTATAATGTTTAATAAACTGCAATTAAAATTTTTTTTTAAATCTTCTCAAAATAGGAAAATTTGGCGTAAAATAATAATATTAAATTAATTTACGCAAATAGACTTATTCTATGTTCTAAATATAATCTATTCTTATAATATGCGAGTCGATTCTATGTTATTTTTTTACAATCAATCCGTTAGCAGAATCAGAAGATATTGTAACATTAAAAAATTTTGTTTTAACTAATGTAAAACCAAGTTATTAATTAATTGAATTAATATAATATAGTGTCATGTTACATGTGATGATAATAAATCACAAATATTGATACTACTAATATACATTATTGATATAAAATTAGTACAAATTAATTTTACATATTCTACATATATTATAAATTATATTATATATTATATTTTAAAAAGTTTTTAATCAATAAATTTTGACTGATTCTTCATCAATTGAAATAAAGGTATATGAAAATAAATTTCTAACGAACATGTATATATAAATTCGCACGTTACATGAGTGTAAAATGTTTACGTTTGTGCATCTATCGGCAATGATAATTAACTGGTAACAGAAGGAGTTTCCCTTCCCCTTCGATCTCTAATAGATCAACTAATAGATCAATTGACTAGATATAATCAGATGAATACGACCAGAATCAACAAAAGGTGGCTCTAATAGTGTCCGAAGAATAATATCCGAAGAATAAGCAAGATAAGTGACCAATACTGGTCAAAAGGCGTAATAAGATTACTATAAGTATTTAAAATATCTAAAGAATAAATATTCGCATTTCCCATTTTATCTAGATATAATGGCATCAAGAATTCCGATGCATTCGTAAATTACGATTAGGACACTCCCAAAATCTCAATAATTGCGATTAAGGCATACTCTCGAAAAATTTCGATTATCAATATGTATACTTATTTATATATATATTTTTTAATTTATATTATTAATATATATTCCGATGCATTCTAATTTAAATTTATATCACTTTTAGATTAAAAAACATGCCTTTATAATATATGTATATAGTATATTATTAATCAAAATGTGATAAACTGTCAAAATTTCTTTACATTCTCATTATACGCGTTATACAAAAAGCGTTGTATACTCTGTAGGTTTCTGTCACTCTTTTCCACGTAATATCCAAGGAAGGTATGCTAAGAATTTTCTTATGGAAATTTTGCACACGTCCTTGATTTTATAACCTTTACATCGACGATTTAGTATATAGTCAGCGACGGATTAAACATTTTGGCGCCCCTAGGCAGCGTACATTTTGCCGCCCCTAATCCAAGGTATAGTCGCAGTGTCAGATGTAGAACCGGAAAGCAAAAAAAAAAAAAAAAAGTACAAAATATGTATCAATTTTCTGTTACCCCTGCATTAGCTGGTGAAAACATAATATATTTTTTAATATTTTCACGACCCCAGACAGAGGCGGCGAAAATTTTCTGTCTTTGAAAATTTGCCGCCCCCTCAAATTTGCCGCCCTAGGCAAATGCCTAGGTTTGCCTCTAGTGTTAATCCGTCGCTGTATATAGTCGCTATCGTCTTTTAGTACGAAAGATTACTGTGAGAAGGCAAGGAAAATTCGCTATATTTTTTTGAATATCGTCCTTTCACAAGCGGAAGCGCTCTATAAATTGTCGCGGATTTTCGAGATTATGCATATACTTGTTGAACTTTCCACGTAAGAAAGTTACCGCATAAGAATAGTCAATCAGTTCAGACGGTCCTAGTAATGTCCGTGTAATATCTAACAAAAGTAATAATAGATTCTTTTGCGTTAAGTTTACTCAGACTTCACTATTGCTGAAACTGTTTTTGTAGTATAAGACAAACGGAGGATAAAGAAACTTTTTTGCAAATTAGTTCATTATACAACGTAAACTGTATAATAATTCAACCACTTTGAATATAAAAACTTCTATAAAGTATAATCATTTTTGTTGTCTTGAATAATATAAAATTCTAGAGAGAATTTTCGAATATACAAGATTATTAAATGGATATAGAAATATATGTTATTAAAATTTTGGCTTGATTTTTTTCAATATTTTAAATTACGTTTGTCTTCAATCTTTTTATATTAAAATAAAAATTGGCTCAAATAATATTAATCAAAAAAATTAATTAAATTTTCTCGTATTTGAATTTATGTATTAATAAACTTGTCATATTAATGATATTAATGAAGATAAAAATTTTCGCTAGATTCACGAAACAATGAAAGTTTTCATTAAGCAAAATAAGAAAATATAATTTCTCTCCCTCATATTTATTATTTTTATATTAAAATGTATATTATGTTTAATTAAATAAAGATAGTGTGCTTACTATTATTATATATCTCAATGTGTGTGTGTGTGTGTGTGTGTGTGTGTGTGTGTGTGTGTGTGTGTGGTGTGTGTGTGTGTGTGTGTGTGTGTGTCGATGTGTGTTTGGATGTCACATTTTCTCTATTTATCGGTTGCGAATTCGGTGTGTCATGTTGATTTATTAAAAGATTAATCCTTCTTAATCCTCGACGTCTTTATCCGAAGTATACTTATTTTTTGAAAGATGAACCGAGATTCAAAAGGCATTTTCTTTTTTCCGACATGTAATTATCCCTTTTAAGAAAAGTAAATCTTCTATGCTCTTAAAAAAGAATATGATCTCCATGCGTGGAAAATTTTCTTAGAATTTCTCGAAATATTATTTTTTCTTTGAAAAAAGCTCGAAATAATGACGCAATTCGTCAATTTCTTGACGTTTTCTCAAGATCATTGAATCGCTTTCTTAAACTGGGTCATGTTGATCCCTCGAGTCTTTTTTTGCCTTTCTTTTTGTGGAAATTCTAAACGTGACAAGCGACATTTAAATACAATAAGCGACTATGAAATGCATTCTATATAGCTTTTTCCTTGGCATGTAATTCTTATGATCAAAAGTTTAAATCTTATTAATCACACACACACACACACACATTTAGCTCATTTAATATATCTTAACATACACAAAATTTTTAAATTACACATTTCATATTCATTTTTATAACGTGCAATTATTAAGTATATTTATAAATTACTAAATATACATCATCATACTCTCTCTATTATTTTATATAAAATAATTTTAAAGATAATAAATAAAAACATTTAAGTATTGGTGCGTAGTTTGAAAAGAAACTGTCATGTTTTTCAATATACTTTTTATAAGAAAGAGATTTATCGAGTGATTTAGTTTCTTCGTAATTTCTTAACTCGCATCCGTGTTGAAGTACGAGACGCTTAGAATGACAAACGGTTCAGATCAGACTCAAACGATTACGATCATCCACTATGCATGGAGCCCTTAGTCCACGAAGACGCCACTTTGGAACGGAACAGTTAGACGAAGCTCTTGAGTCGAAATCAATAATATCGATCAGTTAGTAGTACTCCTACAAACGCAACTCACTATGTGTTGAGGAAGCTGCGGCAATGCGTTCTCCCATTATCCGGAATGTACCTCTCTTACAGTACTCCAGGATTATGATTCTAGAGATATATAGGGCAAAGATAGTTCCTATAGAGTGATTGAATGTCCTAAATTAATTATTTTTCGCGATTATTGTGACTACATTTTATCATATATGAAAAGTATTGAAAGTCTCAATATAATAACACTAATATAATTTATAATTTTGCGACAATATATATATATATATATATATATATATATATATTGTCGCAAAATTATAAATTGTGTTATTATATTAGTATATATACATATATATACATGTATATATGTATATAATATATAAAACTAATATTTTTTACGATACTGGCAGAATCAACAACGGAACGATGTCGCAACGATGTAACAAACATTTACGTATAATTCACGAAAGCTCAATTCTCTCTCGGCAAGGCCTCGAGAAAATTTCGTTTACCGAACGAATCACTATTGAACTCGTTCACTTTTTCTCTTTTTTTTCGATCTTCGTCGTTTGACCTTCCTCCCTCGGGAAACCGCACAAAACGAGTATACTATTCACCTTTAACTGGCGCAGGTATCCTTTTCGATAAAACCAACCTATTCTTAAACGAATCAATCGATCAATAATATTTCTGTAACTTTAATTAGAGAACTCTTTAAAAAAACAGTAAAAAGATATAACGTTCAATTAAATTTTGGTAAAGTCATTTCAGTTTTCAATAAAAATTCAACATTCTATTTTTGCTCTAAATAAAATTGACAAAAATCTCAAAAACAAATGCAAATGAATTTTTGTTTTTTGAGAAATATCAGTTAACTGGCACGACAAATTTATAACGCAAAAGCGATGATAAGATCTTATCGAGAAGAAACTTATTTGTTTTCATGAAACTCGTAGCGAGTTTCAAAAGAGTTACAAGAAGTTTCTCGGCAGAAAATATATCCAACAAAAAATATTATTCGATTATTCAATTTAATTTAAAATATTATAATATATATTCATAACCGAGAAAAATAGTACTAAATCTCTACATAAAAGATCGTCACAGAAAATTTCAGGATATCATGGACGCACAATTTTGAAATAAATTAAATATATAAATATAAATGAAGAAAGAAAAAGAGAAAGCTCAGTTTAAAAATTTTAGATGAAACAGCATAAGTCTTTGACATTTATATTTTTTAAACATTTTTTATTTTTAAAAATATAAAAAATTTATATCTGAATCAAATTTTTTATTGCGATATAAATTTTTTGCGATAGCTATTTTGTTTTAAATATTCATATATAGATAGAAAATATTAATAATAAAATTATATAAACACGAATTTGTCTGTACTGCCCTTTATATTTTTATTTTCAAGAGTAAAAAATATTTTTAAAATATATTGAAATACAAACAAAAAAAGAAGTAAGAATTGTTATCAAATTTATTAAATCATAATGCTATAATTTTGTAATTTGTATAAATGTATAATATAATAATTAATAAAATTATAAAATATATATTAATTATATTAAGAATAGAAGATAAAACATTATATTAAAACATATATACAATGTAAGTAAAATATATTAATACTGTCAACTTTATTAAATCATCACGTTATAATTTTATAAATGTACTTATTAATTTCTTTGTTTTCGCTAGTTTCTCTCTCTCTCACACACACACACACACACACACACACACACACACACACACACACACACACACACACACACACACACACACGCACGCACACACACACACACACACACACACACACACACACACACACACACTCTCTCTCTCTCTCTCTCTCTCTCTCTCTCTCTCTCTCTCTCTCTCTCTCTTCAATTTAACTTTCTTAAAATTACAAAGATAATGTGTCTCACAGAAATTAATCAAAAACAACTCGTTTTAATCAAATTTTCGAATAAGTAAATTTGTTTCTGTAAACAAGTTTTGCGCGGTTTAAATTGCATTAGAAACTGTAACTCTCTTATATGCGGAAGACCGCGTCCCCTCTATCTTATAGTTTTATCTACGACGAAGATGCACCTTCTCTCCTAATCCTCGAGATATAACCAGTCTCTCGGCTTCCTTAATCTTCGCGAAAGACGCGTTACTTCGTACTCTGGGAATGAGTTCCGGATCGCTAATTTAAAAGCGATTACTGCGCGGCGCAGTCAGCAAGGGATTTATCGGCAATTTAACCCTTTCGATGTTGCTCTCGAAAGGGTCTATAAAAGTGTACATGGGCGGATTATTATTTGAGGCGGAAGGAAAGAAAGAGATTATGGCGTTGAAAAAATGATTGGGCGAATTGATGGGCTCGATAATTTTCATTTGCGCACGCGCCTACATATTAATTCATTGAACCAAGCGGCCTGAATAAATTAAATTTCAAGCTAATGTCAAGTATAATAGCTGATGTAATTACAATGCATCTAGCTGCACATTAATTTTGAATACAATTGAGATAAAATCTCCCTGCGTCAATATATGAAGAACTATGCGGAGAATTAACATTTGCAAATCATCGTGTGTTGAATTTAATCTCAGGAACTGTAGAATCGCGAAAACATTTATTTATACCAGCAGCGTAACGCGAAGTAATCGCATTACGATAATCGCGTTGGAATCGCACGATTCGATGATAGTAAAAGCCTTATACTTGAGAACGATACGTATACTTTAGAGCCGCGTTAATTCTTTGCGATTCGGATTATTTCTAATTTTTCTCTCTTTAGCTTTGAAATTTTATCAATCTGATATTAAAATTGATGTTTATCATTTTGAAAATTATATAAACATTATAAAAAGAATATAATATCTTAATAAACGTAATTATTTATTATCGTGAATATTGTGTAGAGAATCTCGCGAGTTTATTATACTGAATCAACATTTCGAGGAAAGAGCTAATCTTCTGGCAGCAGGATGAAATTGCACGAGCGTGAAATGCAGTTGGTTTATACAATAGTTAAACTATGATACAACAACGCATATTGTAATATAATAGTTTCATGCGAATTGTATTATGCTAGGAGTCGAGTCCTCTTGCGAAAACTAATCGACATCAATGAAAGGTATTGCAGTTGCATTATGTGGGAAAAATATTTTCTGATATTTCCGAAGCCGATTATAGGCGTGCAACAAATACATCTCATTTTAACATTATATATATAAATAATTCCTTGAAAATAGTAGTTTTGCGCGTGTGCGCTTATTTGACAAAAAATATCATTTTATCAGATATGGGAAAACTGCATGTTGCTCCCATTACAGTTTTGCAATCACCTAATACTTTTCATCGATACGGAGATGCTTCCAATATCCTACCGTTACATCAGCGCGATGATGAACACCTTAATCCTTCCGGCAAACGGTTTTCGCTCAGCGATAATCGTGAAATGTAGCTTCACTATGCCGATACAATCGCACAACCGCGCTAAATGTTGCGATTAAAACGGCACAATATAAGCTATATTTTATATTGTAAATCTCTCACATTTGCAAATTTAATTGCTTCCAATATCGTTTTCCTTAGCCGACTATAACTCTCGGCGATGATCTCGTAAAACCTGGATTCTTCATGCGAAACGTGTTTCACGGAAACAATCGTTCAATTCGTAGCTATATCGCGATACAATCTCATCGCACTATTAATACCGCGATGTATCAACTGGTTGTATCAACAACGCGACCGCGAATTAAGCTACAGAGAGCTTCTTATCGGAGAGAGAAACGTTGCGCTCTTTATCTTTAGATTTTACTCCATCCATCTTCTTCTATACGTTAGCTCGTTCCTTTTTCTTTTAATTTTTTAATTTACGCAGGACAAAATGCTTCTAATTTCGTACCGTCTACCGGCCAGCGATGACACGCGACTACTAGCCGGCGGCACGTGCTCCAGGACGAGGACCACTACCGGCCACCTCCGCGGCTGGTTCTACGCGACGACGCCGACGGCGAAGTCGGCTTTGCGGCGGCCGCGTCCGCGCAGTATTGTCAGACCAGTTGATACGACCCCATAATTCTTTATATTTTATATATATATTTATATGTATATGGGACGTCAGGACGTTCCGATACTTTGAGGGGTCGAATTTGCCCGTAGCGAAGGGGAGTATTGTAAGAGATTATCATTTGTATCGAACTCGTTATCGCAAATGACGAATATATATGCGTTGAATATGAGAATCTCGTATAAAACGACCGAATTTCGTCGTCATTTGCCAAAGTATTCAATAAGCGGGATATAATTCTGGCAATACTCTGAGTTCGCGACTTGGTGACTCTAATATGGATTTTCTAGGCTGGTAGCCTAGAGCCGACGATGACGACTGAGCTGCTACTAGCAGGCGCGAGTACTAAACAAGGTGATGGGCATGCGCTACCACGTTCGCGATTTCTCTCCGCCGCTCTGGACATTATATCCGCGATACCATCATCAAAGGGGTTGTCGTAAAACCTCCCACTCCCTCGAGTCGAGAGAAGTAGCAACTAACAAAGATCCCTATATACACAAATACTGTGATCGCATAACAAAATTTTTATTTTCCGTTCTCGACTTATTTTCTCGCGTCAAAATCATGACTTTATTCCGTTTGTATCTCACGAGCTAAAAAATGCAAAATGTTGAATATAAAAAGGAAGCTCTGCAAAAAGAGAGACGCAAACTGATTCGAACAGACTTGAGATTATGTCGCCAAATTCGAGAGAAAAGAATATGAATCTCAATGTCTTCAATTAGTAGCTCGCACTATTTGAAAAAAATCTTTTCCCAATTGCATATCCCCTCGATATTCGTTCATATCACGTTTTCGTCACAGCAGGAAGATTAATTTCCTCTTTATCGCGAGTAATATATCTATGGATTAGTAACAGAGTTCTCGTCCATCAACTATTCTATTCACGTTGATCGTTCTGAGACCGATTCGATATAAAATCAAAATAATAGATATGCATTTTACAAGACATAATTTTTTATTTTTTAATTAAATTAAATATTAGATACAAATACAGATTTACGGGCGGAGAAAAAAGTAAGCAGTTTTTCGGATAATGATCTTTTTAATTTATCAAATAAAGAACTACCACTTTTTTAAATGGAGAAGAGAGTTAGATTTATTGCTCAAAATCATTACTGCATTACTCTACTTTAATATATTTTTTATTCAAATATCAGGTTGGAAGAATTTAATTAGAAAAAATGCAGAATGTACGGCATTCGATAAAGTTTTGATAGAAAGACAGTTTCATATTCTTCGACAAACGACATTATTTTACATCATCTTACGCGAGATATCAAACTTATTATCAAGAACAGTAGTTATATAAATACTTAACCAAAGCTTATTAAAGTAAAAGAGTGTTAGTGCAACTGATTCTAACTAAATTGACAAGTTGTAGTAAACGATATATTGGCGATCCCTCCAAATTGTTCCTCCAATTTACAGCCTATCTTGTTTATGTAACGTACTCGAGACTTTAAATTTATAACCCTATTGCACTATCTTGAGTTAGCTCGCTGCACATAAAGCGAAAACTATATAACGGATTAAATCTTCTGCCGACAAATATGACCATCTTCACACTTTAGTCGTAACGTGACAAAAATATGCAGAGAAATTCATGAAGATGTGCCTAGTCTCTGCAGAGACGAATAGAACGATTACAATATTAAAGGACGACTTGAGGAATATAAAATTCAGTGAAACTAAATTTTTTAATAAACTGATAAGATCTCTAACTAATATATATGAAAAATAGCGCGTATGTGTTAAAAATAATGAAAAATTAAATTAAATTATGATTTAAAATCCAAGCTGTGAACGTAAAAAATAATTTGATAATAAGAATATTTTGCATTCTTTACATGTGTCCCGCATACTGCTCTTATGAATAAAATGAACTAAAATTTTACTTTTAAACAGTATCTATATTTGTTAAAATTTATTTCATCATATTTTTTATTACATACATATAAATAGTTTTTTTTATTTTATTTCTCTTTATAGTAATATTCATACTCTTTTAAAATTTTTGTCCCACGCTTTATTCCTTTTTTAAATAGAAATGTTCTAGAATTGAAAATATATTCAATTGCTTCACATATATATATTAAAATATTCTATTTCAGAGAATGTCAATAAAAATGAAAAATGCTTCTCATATCACTGTAAAGAATTTTATAACAAATATTCTGTAATACAAAGTAAATCAATCAAAAATAGTAATAATATACGAATAAATAACAAAATAAAATCATAAAGAGTGAAAAATATTTATATTTATGGTCAAGTTTGTGTAAAACACTTGGCTGGAAAAATGCTGAAAATTATTTTTGCGTTAATTGACAGCTATATTGTTGCGCGCGACAGTATGACAGATTGAACTAAAATAATTAAGAATTATCAAATACGATATTTTAATATATTTTACCCTAAATATGAAAAATTAGAAGAATTGTTTAAGAGATAGAATTAAAATAAAA